TGCATGAGCTGTGGTGGTACACCTCCACTGCTGGGGACAGCTGCTCTGCACAGCAGTCACATTAAAGCCCACCTGGTCTTCTCATGCCGTTTTTTTTTTTTTTTTTTTTTTTGGTCTTCTCTAGATCTGCTTGCCTGCTTTGGTTGACTTTTATCTTTACCCATAGTGCTGCAGGAATCCCTAAGTCCAGAAAGGCTGCCCTGTAGCCTACCATCTGTATTCACAGCCTGCAGCGGGCTCCACAATGCTACGGACTCTGTTCCGGCGTTCATCACTGGCAAGAAGAAAATGACAGTTCCTCTTGGCAAACACGCTTACTTTTCTTTCCTCTCTCCTCTGCCACCGCACCTCCAATGTAAAAATGTCAATGTTATCTTGACTTTGGTGCGCTGGCAGATGCAGACACAGTCCTGATTCTATAAGCAGAGTATGTGATATGTTTTGGTCTGTGTGTGTGTGTGTGTGTGTTTGTTTATTTACAGTGTTTCTTCCATTAGGCCACAGTGATTGAAGGAGACGACACGTGAGGCAAAAAGCATCCGATTAAATCAGCAGTGAAAATCTACACTGCCGGCAGTTACGTTGACAGAGCACCATGGTAATAGCTGCAACCTCTGTTGTCTCGTGATAACCTCTAGTGTCTTCTGAACAGACACCAGAGGTCATCAGATGTTGGCTGCTGTAAAAATGGGAAAAAATTATTTGACCAAGAGTTGTCCAGATTTGAAAATGTTGAATGTGTGTTGATGGAACAGAAGGACAAACAGACAAATAGCAGGAAGATGTACACATTTTTATTTATGACTAATTCAGCTAGGCATTTGACGTGGAGTTGAAGCCTCCATATATGTATCCTCACAGCATGGCATTTTAAACGTGTGGTGCTGCATTCAAACAAAATTGTACCTGTAGTGTGTGTGTTAGTTACAGTAACAAGTGGATGAATGGTGGAATTATTGGACCTCCTTCTCTCCCCACCCATTAGCTTATCCCAAGGATAATGATATATTCAGTAAGAAATGGCCCTGAAAATAAACCTAAATACACATTTCACTAAGTTAAAAAAAAAAGTCAATATTTATCCTCCCTAATGACATCAACATCATCAACATCAAATTTTATGAAGCAGATTGCTGGGCAAATGAAATATGAGTTACCTATGAGATATAAAATACCATTGGTGAATTTGGAGTAGGAGGAAAATAAGGCTTTCGACCTGAGGCCTCCAGATACAAAGCCAAAGTGTGCAAAGGAATTGTTCTGTTGTCTTCATTCAGCACTTGGACTTCTTAGGTTTTCAGTCTGTTCTTGTTTTGTTCTCACTTGGTCCTGTAGAGGAAATTACCTCAGCAATACCTGCAAACTTTTTTGAGCTGGAAGTGAGTCCTGCACAGGATCCTCAATATTGACTTTTCTCTCTGCCTAGCTGCCTGTGTTCCTAAATAACATTTTAACATTTTAACGTTTTAAAAGGAAAAAAGTTGAATGAGAACATGCAAATGGAAAAACCATTACTCAGAGTGGTGATAACGGTGCATTCAGTTCTCAGGCAATTTCACATCAGTAATTTGGTTTTCAACATTTGCCTATATGTGACTATGGATTTTAGACTCCCAGGTCAAAATGGTGGCTTGTTGACATGGATGCATTTCTAAGTGCACATAGCCACCAGGCCCCCGAAGAAGCTGGAAGTAGTTTGGTGTTGCCTGTGTGAATTTGTCCAGGCGTAAGTGAATGCTTTGGGGGTTTGTCTGTGTGTTTGTATGGATGCATTTACCAGTAAGATGAAATTTCAGAGAAGTAACTGCAGACGTGACTGCCTGGGGACGGCTCCTCCATTTGGTTTCAGAGCGGGATTAGTTTCAGGGGCCTGTTAGGTTTGACAGACAGTGTTTTTTTTTTTTCTTCTTAAGAAGTTCATGCAAGGCTGGCAGGAGGAGCGGATTAGCCAGCTAGTGTAGTATTATTGTTACCAAACAGAAAACATCTTTTTTTGGAAACACAAGGTGTTCTGTAGTAGATGGCTGCTGTTTGCCTCTTTCTGTGAGTGTTGTGTTCGTGGCTGAAAGCAGCAGCTTATTAGAAGAGTATTGTGTCTGCTGGTGTTTGTGTGTGCTGTATGTGTCCTGTTATCTGTGGCTGTGATCTATTTGTGATATACAGTCACTCTTTCATGTACACTTACAGCCTCTCTCACTTTTACCCAGTTGCCCTCTCTGCTCAGAGAGGCATTCACTCACTCTATTTGAAAAAAATCCCCAAAAGGACAACCAACAAATTTCCAGTATGTTGATTAAATACACTGAATATCTGAAATGAATACCTGTAGCATGCCACAGAATTAAAGAGTGGTTGGTGCTGTTGCCTTACAGCAGCAAGAACTCCTACTCACTGATTCAATCCCAGGACTGTTAATAGAGTTTGAGTTTTTTCTATTGATATTTTTGGTTTTCTTCCCCTCGGTCCAAAAACGTAGGAGGAAGTTAATTGGACAATCTTAAAGCTGACCACAGAAGTTAATGTGAGTGTGAATGGTTAACTATCTCTATATGTGGCCCAGTGATAGACCTGCATTTAGCCTAGCCTTGATCTTATATTCCACTTCTATGTTATGTGCTTTATTTGCATGCTTTAAATGTATCAATAGCTACAACACACTGCAAAACAGTTGGCATAGAGACACAGTAGAACAGCGCTTCTCAACCACTGGGCCGTGACACACTAGTGTGCCGTGAGAGATCATTAGTTGTGACGTGGAAAATGTCACGTAATTAGTGCCAAATCTATCATTTATTTATTGCAAATATGTTTTCTTTGTTTGTCAATGCGTGACAGGCAGAGCAATTAAAACATCTTACGCTAGGTGGCAGCAGATGGTTATTAAAACCAAAAAAAGATAATCAGAGCTATTGAAAAGATCTTTGTGAATGCCTTTCTTCATTTCCTGCCAGTATAGCAGCATTGTCTTCAACTAAACAGGAGTACATTTTAGTAAATTTTTAGTAAGTACATTTTCAAAATAACATGCTGTATATGACAGGATGAGAGAATCAGCTAAGTTGGAGATGTAGTATTGTTCTAGTTTACCAAAGAGACACACGGGATACATTGGTCAAGGAATGTTGGAGATGGTGTCGCACAGCAGCAGGAAAATAATTCCACCCCAAAGAGAAATACATGGGCATATTGTCTTTGGCAGTGACACAAGGATTAGGAGAGATGGGGGCAGATAAGCTGCTAGAGCGACCCCTGGAGGGAGCAACAGAAATAGGAGGTCTGAATGTTAGTAGATGTGTGCCAAATCAAAATGATTTATTTTCCCAGGTTCTCCTTAATTCTTTTTAGCAAGACAATGTGTGTGTGTGGTCTGATTCCTCAGTACTCTGTGTGTCTGAACACAATGTTCAATTTTTACAGATTTCTGGAAAGACTCAGAGTCAAATCGAACTGACTGATTTCTGTATGAATACTGAAAGATTGTAGATAACACATTTATCGTCTGAGTGATCACAGACGACATGATTTGTCGATCCAACCGGAGCCAACTGAATGCATTAAACACTCGCAAGGGCAATGATGGGTGAATAAACAAACCAGTTGGGTCGGTTATCAGTTCACACCATCTGAGTGCATACAGATCTGCTTCAAGAAATGTAAATGTCTGACTGACGGGGTCTGAGTTCGCATCATTTCTGTTCCTCTCTCACTCTTGAAATCCTCCATGGCTACCCTTCAAACACTGGTGTGTTTTTGTTCTCAGATTTGGAGTCACTAGTAAAATCTGGCAAAGAATAAATTACATGATGATTAGGTAGGAAAAATAAATAAAATGCTTTACTGACTAAAGTGATAAAAATATTTTGGTATGGTTTTGCAAATAACAATCTTTATATAATTTAGGTTGGTTAGTGGAAAAAATATATTCTGTTATGTAAAAGGTTTATTACAAGACCAAATGACATAACAGATTTGATTTAATGTTTAGAAAGTTGTAGCTTTAAATCTGGGAAATGAAGAGAAACGCAAAGAGAAAGAAACTTCAGTAATCAGCTACGAGAGTGATTCGCTCGTGTGGCAGAACTAGAACCAGGCTAACTCCAAGCCTTGGCGACTTCTACTGCCACTATTAATACAGACTTTAATTAGCCCTGCCACGAACACTGGCACAATCTCCTCAGAGTCGCCCATGGCCGGTGAGGCAGACAGATCAATAGGTCTGATCATGCCTTTTTCATCAGCTCAAATGAAAGCACTTTGTCTCCAAGCCCAGCCCTGGACCATGCGTAACACCTTAAAGGCTTTCTTTGGCTCTGCTGGCTGTGTGCAGCGTTGCAGATGAGGCCGGTATAATCTGGCTGCATTTGGGAACTATAAAGATAAATGAAGGGAGGCACAGTGCATAACTCATCCTGACAGAGGAAGGGATTTAAGGCTGGAAGACTTTGTGTTTTCTATAGCAGCACCACACCAATTCCACCCCAACGGCTTCCTGGTCCCCAGTTCTCCTTTTCTCCTAACTTCCCCGAGTTCCATTTTATGTGAGTACAATCTGTGCTTTATTTTTCTCTGTCTGCTTCATGCCATACCCCCACCCACACCCACCTCTGTCCACCTTCCTATCTTTTTTTTACTGATCTGGAGGTACGGAACTGTTCATTTACACTTCTTGTGGTGGGCAAATTGCTCCTTTACCTCGTTGCCAGCACATTTCAATTTGAAGTAAAAGAGTAAGCTGCTTTTGCAGTAACAACTATTTCCTTTTTGCTTTTTGGCAGGCATTTCTGTTGACCTTCAAGTTCCCAATCAGCAAGGAAGAAAAATGGAAATGGCTTGTTCTGAGTCCTCATTTCCTCTGAATTGCTAGAACTGTATTGTGTCTCTCACTGGGGGTCACAGAATCACAGCCTTTTTTTTTTCATTTTTACACCAGTAAACCAATCACAGTCTTTCTCTCTCTTTTTCTGCCTTTCTGTCTCTCTTCCTCTCCTTCCTGACAGTAGATGACGTGCCACCTTACTTTAAGATGGAGCCTCCACAGACGCAGGTTCACCTGGAGGGAAACCGCCTGGTTCTCACCTGCATGGCAGAGGGCAGCTGGCCCCTGGAATTCAAATGGATCTACAACGGCACTGAACTCACAAGGTTCTCTTTGGAGTACAGGTAAAAAAACAAGGCTGTCTCCTCCAAAGATCTTAATACCTCATTATTCCACTTCCCAGCCATTATCCGCTGACCAAATAAGGACATTTTAGTGGAATTTGATTGTAGCTAATGGCTCCGGTGCTCATTTTAATTCATCTTTCAGACTCAAATCTATGAATTTATTCAGGACTGATTCGGCAGCGTCTCTCTCCCTTTGGACAAAACATGTCTTTTATTCATGGGAATGTCAAATTTATTCCTATTTGTATCTAAAATTGTATTCAAAATTCCACAGACAGTGTGAGCAGATAAAACTTTGCTCCGACAATGTATACTCCAGACAGTTGTTAAACACGACTCAACACAAGACAACGTGGTCTTGGGGAAGTTTGACCCTGAGCTAACGAGGTCTCAGAATGCTCTCACATACTGTATGCATTACCTTCCTCTGCTCATTCATACCACGAATTTCACTCTGGACATTGCTTGTCCGGATGATTCTTTTCCTCCTTGGACTCTCCAGCTGTTTACAGCGGCTTTAACTAGAAGGCAGCTTCACAGAGCAGGAGGAGTCTCTGTAAATAAGTGCCAAGACAAAATTGACCTATGATGGCGACAGAGAACAGAGGAAACCCTGAGAGCATTTCTTATCAAGACGTCACATATTGAATAATGAACTTCAGCCTAAGGATGCATGAATAAATATTGGTTCATATAAACTGGCTCCAGCTTGAATTCATTGGGTTTTACAACAGCTAAGTTAAACTGGACCATTGACTTTAGATGCCTCAGTTGTAGTGGGCTAAATCAGAGGTCCCTAACCGCCGGTCTGTGGACCAGTGCTGACCTGTAAGTAATTTGCGAGTGAAAAAAAATGTACTTCAGTTTTACTGGTTTACTTCATTCAAAAGAATCCAGTCCACTTTTTTCATCAAAAGATAATCTGGCAATAAAACCATAGGTCATTCTGGCTCTGATATTAACAGAATAAAGTCTAAAAGACGTTACGGCTGATACCGGCCGACTCGGTCTTTGTTACAAAAAAGGTTGGTGACTGCTTGGCTACAGTAAATGACCCAGTTCCACTCTAGTTGTCCAGGCTGGATTAACAGCTGACCTGGACTAACCTTTAGTCTAAATATTCTTGCTCAGCCTCTTCCGTCAGGTGTGTTTCCATTTAAATTTTTAGTTGCGACTCATTTTGTTTCCTGGTGTAAACAGTGGCTCGACGATCTCAGGTGATGCTGTCTGATGTCTGCCGTCACCCTCCAGTCCCCCTCCGCACAAACTCCTTCTCCTCCCTCCATCTGTCTTTAACCCTCCCACCTTCTCACCCTTCATCCTCTTCATCTCTTTCTTCTTCTCAGTGTTTGGCTGTGCTCTCACGTGGCTTAGTCTCTGGGTCTGCCTCACAGGCCAGCCCTCTACTTGTTATTCTCCACCAGCCCTGATCAAAGAGGAGAAACTGGAATCCGTTTAATCAGAGTCTACCCCCCTTCCTTAACTCCCGAAACCCCAACACCACCATCACCACCTCTTCACCCCCACACCGCACACTCATTTCAACACACACACTTGTACACAGCCACGTGCACATTTCTGAAATGCAGTGCAAAAAGAACATGCAGGGGCAGACTCCACACTCCTAAGTGGCTGTAGCTAACCAATTAGAGGGAACTCAGCTTTGAGGTTATCGTGCTGGCATTTCACATGCACCATTTAACGCCAATGCACGTTAGGAGGGAGACGGCTCCTAGAAAAAAAAAACATATGATAGGTGCTCATACGATGTCATCCAACCACCTGATGATAAGAGATGGTCCTGTCAATCACCGACTCACCGGTCTCTGGCGCCTAAAATGACATCCCCGTTTAACATTGGCAACAAATTGCACGTCGTGCTCGGTGTATTTTATTGCTTATTTAAAGCATTTATGTCTCATTGTTGAGTGCTTCGCCTTTTAAGCTGTGTTTCAGATGAATCAGTCGAATTAATCTAGCATCTGGAGTATGTAAACGCCAGGATGAAAAATGTCACTGTCTCTCACATTAATGATGACTAATGGAACTGCTGTGTGTTGGTAGGTACCTCATCCCCACACTGGACCGATCGCATGCCGGCAGCTACCGCTGCATTGTGAGAAACCGAGTGGGAGCAATAATGCAGTGCAGTACTATGGTGCAGGTTGCCTGTGAGTACACTCGTACTTGATTCTCCAGTGATTGTAAAAAAAGCTTTTTATTTACAGTAGGTGAATGAATGGATCTGAATAAATCCATTGGTGAAGGGAAGGGGTCATAGTGTATAAGAATTCTATTTTTAAATGGCATTTCCAACATTTTCTTGTTTATGTATCCCTTCATCCATCCATCCATGTATATTTATACTCTTTATACTCCAGACCAACTAACTGTATGCATCCATTGCCATTCTGACAGATATTTCATCAACATTTCATCAACATCAACAGCCAACAACATAATACACATGATTTTAATAATATATTATTAAAATCCCAACCAATCAATCCTGTTTTTATTCTCATCCAAATTCAATATCAAGAATGGTACCAAGCAATGTGGCGATTGCTCTAAAACATGTCTGGATGAATGTAGAGTTTGTGAAGTCCATTTCCATTTGAATGTATAGTTTAAATTAAAATTCTAGCTTTTGTCTTGTTTCAGGTTAATACAATTACGTTTTCCTTGTTCCAGTGTTTTTCTCTTCTTTTTATAATTGGTCACTTCTGTGACAGCAACTAATAACTTCTACAGAAATAACTGTGCTTAAATTAACATGTCATGTTTCACCAGCCGGCGACTGCCTCTGAACCCAATGTAAAAGTATATGTAATTGCAAATACTTGTAATGACTTACAGTATGTGGCATTAAGATACATTTAAAAATCAGCAAATGCACAACGAGTTTTTTTTTTGCCTGCTCTCTGAACTCTTTGTTCTTTTGCCTGCCAGACATGGGTGGTTTTGTGGAGGGGGAGAGGTTTCAAACTGTCTCCCAGGGTGAGGCCGGGCTCATCCGCGTGTCACAGATCCACAGCTTCCCCAAGCCGCAGATCACCTGGTTCAGAGATGGGCGTAAGATTCCTTCCAGCAGCCGCATGTAAGTCTACCATTATCTGGCCTTGTCATGTGAGGTTTGAGCACCGTGTCTCACAGTGTTCTACCAGCGGTTGCCAGACGCAGCCACGATGCTGTTGCCGAATATCTTTCACATCAGAGAACTGCGAGTAGTTCAATACAACTTAGAGATTTTCTTCACTCTCCACTTGCGGCGCCAAGTTGAGCTGAATGGTTAATGAACGAATGTTGGCGCAGGCCCCGCGTTCATCATTGAATCACCTCTCAGTGATGAAGAAGGTTATTACGTTACCCTCATTGACTTTGCAAGCTGAATGATTGAAAGGAAGCAATAAGCAGCGAGCGGAGGAACCAATTAGGCAAAATTGGACAAAAGGCCTCAATGATGATATGTTTGACTGATGGCTTTGTGCTGTGTGTGTTGGCCCACATGTGGAAACGATTAAAATAAAATAAAAAAGAGTGAAAAAAAAAACTCCATGAGTACGGTCCATGATTTCCTCCAGGGCATCTTAAACTTTTTTGATCCATGCCTGTTCAGATTACGCCTTTTTCCTGAGGAGACACTGTGAAGGTAATCACATGAGATTAATTGCACCATTCAGACAAATACAAGGAGGCAGTGCACAACTCCTCAGAAACCTCCTCCTAATTTATTATTTAGCAGTGAGCTTGAAGTTGAGGCTGACGAGAGAGGCTCGCACACTCACGTTTGAAGAGATTGAGGAGATTGTTGTGTGTCTCTGCCTGTCTGCCAGGCTGCAGAAACATGGAGACGGGCTTTGACCAAAAGTGCTAAAAAACATCTCGGCCCCTTCCCCTGTGAAAGTTTGACCAATTTCAGAGCCGCCAGTGGAGCTGTCCCTCGTCAGAATGAAACGCCGTAGCTTTGTTCTCCGAGGATGAGAGGCACTGATAGGACACTTAGCTTTTACTGCTTGTTTTCGCACATTCTGTCAGTCTGCGCTGGTGCTTTGCAGGTGTGTGCGCGCTTGTGATGTGTGTTAGCGCTGAGCGCGTGTTGGTTCAGTGTGAGCTACGACTCCTAATTTCACACCAAGTGTGGGTGTTTATCCCGCACCGATCAGACAGATACTGGCAGATACAAAAAGCTTAATCTGGCAGCAGCTTAGCGTCAGCTCTGGTTTAATGGGCCCTTCTCAAAGATTCCAGACCACCCGTCTAACCCGCATTTAGCAGGCTTGTAAGCTAGCACTGTTACAAAAGTGGATTTTTAAAAGGAAATTTTAATTGTGATGATTAAAAGTAATGAGCACCATGTGCTATATACAAGGATTTGGAGGGTAATTTAACATAAGGGATTTGTATTTACTGATAGCTTTTCAATCATGTTTGAAATCATCTTTGTAGATAATAATGGACGTACAGAAGGCTGGTTCTGGGAGACAAAATTAGGTTTTTGTCTACTGGCACAGAAAGGAAGATGGCAGTGGGTTGGAGGGTTGAAAACCTCCTCTGTATGTTCTAGACATGGCCTGATCCAAAGGTACTTCCAAGGCTCCACCTATCAAAGAGTAGGCTCACCAAACTGTTTCCAGGAACCACTGTGATCTTTACATTACATTACACTCAGCCCACTGAAAGTTAAAGGGTTTTTTGTTGGTGGTGGTGGTGGTGGGGGGGGGGGGGGCTGACCCCATTATGATGGAACAGCGTTCAGCCACGCGCGTGTAAATGAACCGCGTTTTTTGTGGCGGTGGGGGGTGGGGGGGGGGGGGGGGTCTGACACCATTATGATGGAACAGCTCAAATACACAAGACAAGGCACAGAACAAAACTTTACAAATCCTTGGCAGCCATTTTAATTTGCTTTTGAAACTAACTAAATAAAAAATACAGTACTAAAGTACTATTGCAGTATATGTTTGTTTAAGCTATTTAATATTATCATTGCTGATTTTTGGTATTGTTGACTCACTGTTTTGTACGTCCTGGATTATTATTTGCTCATCAGACTGTAGCAGGTTTGGTCTCCCTTTGTTGTCACGGTGAGGTTTAAGAATAATAAGTATTATTCATGTAATATATAGTATTTTATAAAGTATAATAGTATTTTCATGTAATGTGTTTGCAAAAAGGCCCTGCGGTTGCATAGTGATTACTTTATTGCATCAGAGAAAGGCAACAAGTTCACATCCCGGCTCAGACAGATGACCTGGGTGCCCATTAGCATACATGGGTTTTCTTTAGGTGCTACATTTTTCCCACTGTTCAAAACACTAGTCCGGGGATTAGATTACAGAGGGTCTAAATTGCGTACCGCACCTTTGGATCCATTTCTGCTGGGATTGGTTCCAGCTTCCCCCTAAGACGCTTAACAGGATAAAGTGGTGCAAGATAGGTGGATAGATGGATTAAACCTGGTCAACTTAGCTTCCAGATGAGGCTTACAGCACCTCCAGTTCTCCTCACTCCCTCGAGCATATACATGAATTTTAATGGCAATGAACTTCCTACTTCCAGTCAATCACTGCAGTCATGGCACAATGGCAACATAAATTCTGGACTACTCCTTTAAGACGTTGTCCTACCTTGTAGATGTAAGTGCTCATAAAAGCCGCTCTGCGCGCTTCCTTTTAGACGTAATTTATGAGTATGCATGTGGGTGTTTGTGTGTCTACGGCTTACCCTTAGGATTTATTGACTGTGAGAAACAACTAGCCGCTGTATAATGAGCGTGCACGCGTGCTGTGTAATGACGTTTGTTTGTGCGTGCTGCTCTGTTTGTGTGTGCGCCGAGCAGGCGGCTTTTTAGAACGCACACAGGTTGCGTTGGGATCTCTTGTTTAATCGTGGGTGAATCGAGGTGCCCCCAATTTTAATTGAACCACGTCTAACTCCACCTGAGGCTGTTTGTGTCCTGTCTGGGGAACAGAAGAGAAGTGGGCGAGTGTCAGGGATGGACATTCAGACAGTGTCCTTAACAGCATCATTATTAAAATGGGTGCGTGTTTGTATGTTCACCTGTGTGTTTGCCTAGTGCCATCACTCTGGACAACACACTGGTCATCCTCTCCTCTGTGGCGCCCGATGCTGGCCGTTACTACGCCCAGGCGGTCAATGACAAGAATGGAGAGAACAAAACCAGTCTGCCCATCACTCTCATTGTTGACAGTAAGTATAAAAAAACTACACGCACTCCAGTGCACGTTCTGCTTTGTTCTAACTCATTCCAATGTAAGGTCGACCAATAAAATGAAAGTCATTTCTGTACTTCGTCAACATACATTCACCGACCTGGTAAAGGACACGGTGTAGTATTCAACAAACAGCTCAGTGTACACCAATCCTACCACATCACAGTGGTAAAATTATGTCAGACAGAGGTGGGCCTTGGAACAGTGGCTAAAGCTAAGGCTAATCTCTATAAAACTGGCTAAAAAACACTTACCGCTGAGCAGACAAATGTGAGCTTGTTGACATTTGAAAATAACACAGAGTGAGGAAGTTCATATCTCAAAAATACAAATTGAAGCACCATTTACAAAATGGTGATTCATGATTTCTATCTTCTTTCAACTCCTCAGGTATCACAGTTAGGCTCCAGGCAACATTTTACTCACACTGAACCAAGTAACTCAATGTACGATTTTGAAAATAATTCAAATGTTTAGTGAAGTTAGTTAAGCTCTGACACTGGTATCATTGCCCTGATTCTGATTCGTCAGTTTGAATTCTAAGATCAATTATGAAGCCCGATATAAGTTCATATTTATATATACATATACAGTATACACACACACACACACACACACATATATATTTATATATATATATATACACTTTTCTATTATTTAAGTTGACCTAAAATTACAGGTTTATTTGTGTGTTCAAAAGTTTATCACATCAACAAAATTATTTGCTCATATTATGTAAATAGACTGACTGTACAAAAGCTTAATCATAATTACTAACCACACATATTCCATTAGCAACAACAATAATTGTTCCTCTACTCATCAGGGCCACTTTAACCTCCTGCTCTTTCACTGAATCACAGGTGTGCTCCACTGTTTTAGGTGACACTCTTGCATCACCTCGTTGCAGGCTGGCCAAATGTACAGACTCATAAAACAGAACTCCGGTGTAATTGCTCCTCACAAAAAAATCGAATTAATGAAATGGCACTGCCGAACAGAGAATAAAGAACTCACACACCCACACAGGTACACAGGTTGGATTGGAAAGTCAGCTTTGCAGAACATGTTCACAAGCCAAAGTTTGGCATTGCTCACGCAAGCATGGCTACATGTCAAAACATTTGCCTTTGCCTGAACCTGATGTTTACTCGTCCTGCCACCTACTGCCACACTTCATCTAAACAAAGTCGTACAAATTGTTCCACCTGCTGTTACTTACTTTCATGTCAACAAATCGGTCCTTTTTCCCGTGCACATAAATCAGCCAGGAGTCTCAAATGCATGTTATAAGTAACTGCCTCTGAAACTAATGTTTATCGTACTATTTTTATACCGCAGCTTGTACGCACCTCCGCAAAATACTGTATATCAAAACATCCCTCGTGATTTGTTTTATTTATCGGCTGTGGATTTTGACTGTCAATGAGGGCTCTGACCTGTTTTCTTTGCTCAGATGCTCGTTTTAATATGGTCCTCCCTCCCGCTCCCACATCTGCTCATCATATCGTTAATAGTGTGTTTGTAATTCAGTGCTCAGTAGGCATGACGCAGCAGTCTGTGGGGACCAGATATCACCAAATATCACAGCATCTGACCTTGCGCATCACACAGCTGCATTTTGCATCTGAAAGTCAATAAGGGTTTTACAGCTGCATTTGTTCATTTTAGCAATTCTGTAGAGACAAGATGAAAAAAATATGCAGTGCTGAAGCTCCTTGTTGCAGCAGGAGCATACAGATGAGGCCGAGCGGACATTTTCCTTTTCTTTTTGTTCTTATAGAGAGCAAAAATCCACAGAGTTTGACTTGGGTTGACGTTAGTCTTTAGCCACAGACAGATGTCAACCATATGGTGATATTAGCAGGTGGAATTTGCTATGCAGGTCACCACGTTGTTTGCTTTCCCCTTTTAATTAGTGGATTACACACTTGAGGTATTCTCCACAATGAAAGTTTATGAACTGCAATAGATTAATTAGCGTCTGCCAATGAACCAATCATGTCTTCTGAAAAGTAAAATGAGTTCATTGACGAGTCAACTGGATTTTCTTGTGTCGCTGGTGAACACCGACGAACTTCACAGGCAGTGAACTTCTGGTAACAGCCCTGTAAATCTCTTTGTTTATTCCCATTAACCTGTAAGACATTGAACGGATTGTAATGGCATCACAAGTGAGAACAGAAGAAGTAATTCCTCGTCAGTACATGTGAGTAATGAACAATTAATGAATAATTCAGTAATCATTTTTGCATCAATAGATGATCCACCTCAAATGGATAGTTCAAAATATTTAGCTTATTCATCATGTTCTGCTATTCTTGGTGGAAGATGGAAATGTGCGTCGTCATTATTTTTCCACTTTACTTTCAATCAATAATTTATAGAAAGTAACTCTTAGGGAGTACTTTTTATCTCCCTCTCTCAGAATTTACTTCACTGAAATGTTAGATTTTAAAACTTCTCCCACAAGTTCACTCATTAATTGGGGAAATAAACAACGTGGCTAACTTTAAAGTGATGAAATGAACCAGTTTTTTGGGGTTATTTTTTTTTTCACCCCAGAATGTTATTCTGATGGTAATGGTCAAGCACACTCTGCTTTTTCTTCAGTGTTGATGTACTCTGTTTACCCACAAGACCAAACAGAGGAACAATGGAGCAGAAACAATTTACCTACACATAAAATATGGATGGGAGTAAAATGACTGAAAAAGTCTGAAAAGAACAAACCAAAAATTTCTACTGAATGAATTAACGTTCATGTAGACATCGGTCAACATTCACTTGTCCATCCCAGCACAGTTGATGTTGACTTGTCAGATCGACTAAACTAATCTTACATTTCATTCAGTTCTTTAACATTTCCTGGACACATTCCCTGTAAATGGGAGCTGCACTGTCCACTCTCTGCTTCATTACCAGGAACCATATGCACAGAAAGTTTTGTTAGTTTCATTTCACACTCTAGTGTCTATAGTAGGGTAACCATCGTGGTGCCTTGGGGTGCACCTGCATGCTCTAAAAATAGAACTAGTCATAAAGAGGTTCAAAAATTGTACTCACAACATTCAAACTAGTATTTCATTTCATAACAAAAGAAAGTATTAGTGAAGCCAGATAATGTTTGCTTTTTCACTGCAGCCAGTTAAAAAGTAGTTGCTGTACATATTTGAAACATACTGTGTCACAGCTACTAATGTATAACAGGAGGAAACTGCAGTGACACGTCAGGGGTCTGCTCCTACATTCATGCAGTGTTTGTAGAGGATGATTCCTCATTACGCTACTTCCATTAAATGTGGCATGATTTGTACGAGTGTGATTAACAATCAGATGGCACAACATGACAATAGTAATGATAAAAACTGGATTAGGGGCACGATTAACCCGAACTAGTCCTGAGGCGACAAAAAAAACAAGAGCAAACCTCTTCAAATGAATACACATTCACATATTGCGGACGCAACACAGCATAAACACGCAATCGCTCAAACACATAGGAGAGCACAGGCCCATGGCCATACTCTGGGGAGGTGGGAAAAATGAGATCAGATTCAGAGAGAGATCACTGATTGAGGGCAGTGAATCGATGGTTGGCTGGAGGCGCTGTGAAACCAATGAATGATGGGGCTGCGTTTATTCTCCTTTTGTGTTTGTCTCAATTATGCTACATAATGGCTTCTAACACCTGGGCTAACAGTGTGCTGAGGAAGTGCCACATGCTTCAGACCCACGTTCTAAAGTAAAGACAGGCTATGGTAATAGCTGGGTTACTGCGTGGGGTCTCTACGTGCTGGTGATGGTGACAGATTGACAGTCGTGCTCCGTATCAGCCTGGTCCAGGGGCCAAGGCTCAGGTTTGCATATAGTTAATTGATTTTCTCACACTTTTTTCTCACCGTCTACTACTACTTGCGTTTATGCATGATAGATGTAGGAGGACCTGTGGACACGATTGCCCCTTCCATCATCATCCCCCCCAAGAATACCAGCGTCACAGCAGGGCGAAACGAAGCCATCCTGGAGTGTGTCGCCAATGCAAGGTAAGTTTATAATCCATATAAAAAAAAATAAAACATGAGGCTGTTAACGGATTATATTTTTAAAAAATCTGATTAATCACAGGGTAGCTGTGAATAAATCATGATGAATTGTGATCCTAATAAATATTAAATAGCCTTAATTAATATAATAAATCAACAATCCTGAATTTGAAATGAGATGTTTTCACCTGACATATTAAGGAATGTTAAATTAAACACAATTAACCACAATGAATTCCAATCAAGTATAAATTAATCCTGATTAATCACTATTAATCAGGATTATTTAATCAGTCCAAAACCATCCTGTGATTAATCAGATGGAATTTTTCTTTAAACGAAAGCCCTAACATATGTGTATGTCTATATGTGTCTGTCATTAAATTAAATTCACCTAAAATTGTGTCATTTCTTTTCATCTTCAAATTATTTTTCTGAAAAAGGTTAAAAACATTATATGCACCTCCCATTTACCAACTCACTGCCATTCTCCCTCGTGATTCAAGGCTTCACTCTGTTCTCCCTCTCACATAATCCCAGTCTTGAATTATCAGCAGTCAAAGACTTAATTAGAATGACAGATGTATGCAATTACTTCCTCAATGCTTTTCTAACCTTGAAACACAATATGAATCTATTCATATGAAAACCGCACTCCTATCTCACGCTCTGTTTTTTCATATTTCCTTTCCCACTCTTCCTCCTGCAGACCCCTGGTCAAAATGAGCATTACATGGAGAAAAAATGGCGTCGTGGTCAACACAGGCATCCGTGATTTCGGCCGTAGGTTGGTTTTCACTTTTCCCGCGGTCAGTGACAGTGGTTACTACGAGTGTGAGGCGGCACTTCGTGGCAGCAGCCTCCTGTCCGTCACTGCTGGGGCCTTCCTGCATGTACTTGGTAAAAAAATCCATTCATTTCAACCTTTCTGGCATGCTATCCTTCATATTCAGTTGTGTGTTTTTATAATTCAAGAAAAGAAAAAAAAGGAAAAATATTTTAGTCCTTTCCATGGTCATGTGGGCAGCTGGATTCAATCTGGTTTTCACCCTGGACATTTTGCCACTCACTCACTGGGCCACACGTAGAGAAAACATTGACACCTGCTGTCGAATCAGTAGCAAAGGAAATAAAGTTACAAAACAAGAAATTGAAATTAATTTGCCTTATTGCACCTACAACACAGTAGCTCCATGTCCCCTTGGGGGAGCCCGCCCCCCCATTTTGGGAACCACAGATGTAAGGCTAATGCAACTACCATACCTCGTGCCATACCCAGCTTGCAATTATTACTTTAATAATGTGCATTGCATCTATTTTTTAGATGCACTGCAGGTAAATTCCCCAAAAAAAGTCGTTAGTGCACGAACAATCACCAAAAATAAAAGCAAAACTCTGGAATCACAAGGACAGGTGTCAGAAATAGTTAAGTGAGCCGACAACGATCAAAATCAGCTTTGTGACTCAGTCGTAACGACAGGAAAACTATTCTTGAGTCGACAATGTCTGTTAACGACATCAGTGAAACGACAACGTCTCAGTGAAAAGCCATGGTTTAGGATGTCGACGTATATCAGCGGTTCACTTTATGATGCTATTTTTAAATGATTCTTTTTATTCGCCAGAGAAGGAGACATGAGTTGTTTTACAGGCATTAACTGCACAATGTTTTTGTCTTTTCTTTAACAGAGTTCCCTCTGTTTGTCAAAGAACCACCAAGTCACATCAGTGCAGAGATGGAGAAAGTGGTGGACATCCCCTGTCAGGCTCGAGGTTAGCGTTTGTTTGTCCATGTGCAGACCATGAGCAAGGAATTAGAGAAAACAGGGTCATTGGAAGAAAAATAAATCCTCTCCCCTGTCCTTCTCTGTAGGCACACCACAACCAGACATCGTGTGGTACAAGGATGCCGTTCCCATCAGCCCAGTGAAGATCCCCAGATACAGAGTGTTGGCAGGAGGCAGTCTACAGATCAACGGTCTTCTGCCAGACGACACTGGGATGTTTCAGTGCTTTGCCCGTAATCTGGCAGGAGAAATCCAGACAAACACCTACCTGGCTGTTACTAGTATGTAACCCCCCGTGGAATTTTTTTCAAAGCTATCTGCACATGTGCCGCCTAATTCTTCACATTTTCCCACCCAGTTCTCTCCCTCTTTTTTCCTCTCAAATCCGCTTCTCTGCTCTTGTTTCTAATCCTCTTTTCTCCTTCTCTGTTTCTTGCCTCCCACACCAAACTATCTGCGTATCTCTTTGTAGTGACAGATTTGTCACCTTGGATGCTTCCGCCATTATTGACGATTTATGAATCAGAGAATGTCTGCAGGGGAGGCACAGGGATGGAGGTGCCTTGTCAGAATCTCAAAGCCGTTTCTCAGAATGAGACCCGACAGCCGCCCCTTTTGTCAAGTCTATTAAGCCCTCGGCTAACTGTCTGCTTTATTAGCAGGAAGGCTGTTTATGTCTCTCATTATCACCTCTCTCTCTCTCTCTCTCTCTCTTTCTCTTTCTCTTCCTCTGTGTGTTTGGCACTGACCCTCTCCCTCCCTCCCCCAGGTATTGCTCCCAATATCACCATTGGTCCCTCCGACTCGGCCGTGATTGACGGCATGTCAGTCATTTTACACTGCGAGACCTCAGGAGCCCCGCGGCCAGCCATCACCTGGCAGAAAGGTGCGTGGGCAAACAGCATGAGCTTCAGTGGGGGTTCATTATTCTGCATTTATACTTGTCAAAGTGAGACAGGAGCCGAGGAAAGCATTCAGACTGTACATTTTATACAAACAAGCTCTGCTTCTCCACACTCGTTCCCCCACGTTTGTTTTTCCGTGACATTTCTCCAATACCCTAATCCGACCGTCCCTCACCATCAATCACTCCCGCTCTTCTGCGCAGGTGAACGTGTCTTGGCCAGTGGCTCGGTCCAGATGCCCAGGTTCACACTGCTAGAGTCTGGCAGCCTGCTAATCAGCCCTGGCCACTTATCTGATGCTGGTACCTACACCTGCATGGCCAGTAACTCCAGGGGCATCGACGAGGCTTCAGCTGATCTCGTGGTCTGGGGTGAGAAAGGAAAAAAGCAAAATAAATAAATAAACCATTGTCATAGCTGTCATTTACAGGCAGTACGTTTTGCTATCTTTTAGCCATTCTGGCTAACAGTCAACAGCTGAAAAGGAGGATTCTAGTATTTTGTATGCAAACTTTTACTTCAGTTTATATTTAGTATATCTACTTTAACACTATTCTTGTCCTAGGTTTTATCTGACTTCCGGTAGAGAGGCTTTATTTTTCTACCTTATCCACAACTAAAGCAAACAATTTTAAATCAACAGAATAATGTGCTTGGCTCTGGGAACACACTGTTGAGAGATTATGACTACTCATTTTCTGCACATAAACTCTGACTACCAGTCCTCGCTACGCACTCCATGACTCAACCTTTCACACAAAGACTGTCAGTGAAAGATTAGACCGAGTCAAACATTTCCTTTTTAATCACCAAACGACTGGGATAATAAATCGTGTTTGTGTCTGCAGCGCGAACACGCATCACTAAACCGCCACAAGACCAGAGTGTCATCAAAGGAACTAAGGCTGTCATGACCTGCGGTGTGACCCACGACCCCAGCGTCACTGTGAGGTAATGTCGGTGTTTTTCAGTGTGAGAGTGTGTGGTGGATCTCACAGTGTTCCCGTTCAACCTCTTACAGCAAGAGTTAGATCTCCTGTGCTGCAGATTGAGGAATTAGCCCATCACTTTCCCCTCACTCCTCAGACAGTCTTGATCGTGATAGAGTGTGTGCACATGCGTCTGTCTCAGAGGGACCGAAATTATGTCTGTGGAGCCCAGTGATTAGAGTGGCTGTCACCTGTGGGCCCGCGGCATTGATCAGATCGCGGGGTAAACAGATGAATATGTAAACAGCGTAATAACTTCAGACAGCGCCTTTAATTAAACACAACACAGTGGAGATTAGCTGGAGAGCTCGGAAAAGTTGCAATTAATCACAGCAGCTCCAAGTCTGAGGATGCATGTGTGTCTGGGTATGTGCCGGGGAAGGGGGGGGGGGGGAGGGGGGGGGGGGGAAGGGGGGGGGGGGGGGGGTGCAGGAGCCCATCATCTATGACTGTTGTTGTTTATCTTTACTACATTTTATGGGGGGGGGGGGGGGGGGGGGGGGGGGGGGGGGGGGGGCGGGGGGGGGGGGGGGTGAAACAGGGAGAGGAACACACACAGGAGAGCATTCCTCACAGACTGTGCGACAGACGGAGACGATTTTCTGATTCTGATCAGCATCCACCTCAAAAGGCTTTCAGCTGTGTCCACACCTTCTGTCTTTGGGTGTAGCAACTGACACAACGCTAAAACTTTTACTAATGCAACACCAGAATGCAATACATTGAACGGGGATGTGGTTGTCTCAATTAATACAGTTTGTGTTAGCGAACCACAATTATTTTTTTAGTCCTGTCATAGGAAACCATTGTGTTTGGACTATAATAATATAGTATATAATAAACATAAACATATGTTACCGGTACATATGTTGTTTTCTAGATTATGTCTGTAAGTTACCAGCATTTTTTGGAGGGTGACATAGCTGTTCCACCCTTACCTTCCCAATGGGGGCGCCATTGAGAGTAATGCCCAAAGTAGTTGTCAACCAGACAGGATAGAAATCTATGTTTTTATTTCACCCGCTCCTGAAATATTTAGGGGGCATTTTCGAATCTCTGTCAGAGCAATTTAAAAAATACATCCTATCTCTTTGTAGCTAACCTTTCCTTCCAATAAACGTGCCCTACTTACATAAATTACTCCTTACATGCCCTACATGGCAAAAAATGATGAAAGGTCTGTGTGCTACAGTCACCAAGTTGAATTTTACCACCCAGACTTGGTGAAAAATTAATTATTTATTCATTTATATATATTTTATTTTTACTTTTTTGCAAGGAATTTTAACCTTCAGGACATTTTGGCTCTAGCCTTTGCTAATTTGAGACCATGTTGTCAATTATTTAGTAATTATTTAAAAACAAAGCTGTACATGTGCTGCGTTTAGATCTAAACATGTTCTCAAGGGATGTTCCTGTTGGAGATGTACTTTTTTGTAGAATTCTGGAGGATTCCTTTCGCACCAGATCACAAACGGCTTCTTTGCCTCGTCTCAGGACCAAATGGAGTTCCTTTTAGATGTTCTGTCAGTTTTGGGTAAAGGGAAAAACAACAGAAGGAGCGAGACCAAAATCTGTTGCAAAACTTTGATGATTTTCAACAGGTTTCAATTCAAGTTGATTTCAGCCATGCTGTTTGCTTTCATTTCAAAAAGCATCAAGGGTTTAAAAACGAAAATCAAATAAATCATAACACATCTCAACACATAAGGAAGACCTAATGATCAAAACTTGTGCGAACCTTGAAGACGTCGGAGGTGCAACTTGTCACGTTTATTTTTAGACTGAGACATCTGTCCAAATGATAACTTCTGTCCTGAAGCTTTTGGACCCATTGTCCCCTCTGTCCTCTGTGTTTCCTTCAGGCATTTATGGGAGAAGAGCGGCTCGGCTATTGACGTGAACAGCTCACCTCGCTTGCGGTTGGATCCAGACGGGACCCTGCACATTTCCCAGACGTGGTCGGGCGACATCGGAACATACACCTGCAGGGTGACCTCAGTGGGTGGCAACGATTCCCGCAGCGCCCACCTCCGAGTCAGGTCTGCATAATTTCCCCGTGTCTGCCCCCTTGTCTTCTCTGGCTGTCTGTACCTCCTCCCTCCCTTGCCCCCCTTCATATTTACATCTGACTAGGCAGGACATGATGGATGGATGTTTTCCTCACTGCTTTGATTTATCTCGCTTCTCCTCTACGATCTGTCAAACCTGTCTAATATTTACAGTGCCGGGCCCTCAGTGTGCCTGGTTAATTCTGTTATTTGCTGCCTCTGTTGTCTGATTCAATTTGCCTTTATCTTTTTGTCCCTCACTCACACGCACATATGTTCGTGCAGGCAACTACCCCATGCTCCAGAAAACCCAATATCAGTTTTGAGTATGACAGAGAAGAGGGCCATCAACCTCACATGGGCCCCGGCCTTTGATGGAAACAGCCCTCTTATCCGCTACATCCTGGAAGTCTCAGAAAACAGTGAGTGCTTTTCACTTCAGCATTTCCTCAGCACCAACGTCTCCGTCAGCAGGGCACTGATGGGAGAGACCGAGATATATATTCTGTTAGTTTGGAAGCAGCCGTTTCTCACTTCTTTTATTTTATTACGTTCAACATGTGTTAAAATTCTCGGCCTCGTCTTCCTTTTCCTTTCTGCAATCAGCCAGACTGAATTGTCTTTCCATCCTCACGAATGATCAGGCAAACCAGATCGTGTTGACGGCCAACGCTCTTATCATCCATTCACATGACAAAATCAAAGAAATATGAACACTCATACTCACAAAGAATGAATCGTTGGACCATCTCTCAGCAGAGCTGATGTTAACAGAGACAATGACAGCTCATTAAGAGGAAAATGAACAAAGGATGCAGATGGTATTCGATTTTTGGATAATTGAATTTCAATCTGATATTTAGAGAGAGAGTACACAAAATAAATGGCCTGTGTTTTATCAGTATGGCTGCATTGTTATTACTAATAATAAATTGACTGTTTGGAATAAAATAATATTCAAATGACTTTAAAGAATATTATTTGTGCTTTCAGTTTTTGAACAAAAACTTTGTTATCTTTGTGTGTTTAATGTATTTTCGATCAATGACAATTGTAAATATTGAAGTCATAGGTCATTATTTAGCAAAAGGGTATGTCAATCAATCACAGCACCCATTGGTCTTAATTAGAGATAACCAACCAGTGGGCCGTGGCCCAATTTCACTTAATTGTTTTGAAAACTATTATGTATTTACTGCAACAGTGAGAGGCAGAATATTTCAAAGAGTTATTTTGTAGAGGATCTTGTGTGTGTGCCTTTCTTTAATTCCTGCTAGTAGGGAAGCGTTGTGTTCAACTAAACAGAACAGATTTTAATACTGACTACGTCATTTTTGTTTGCTGGTGCACTGTGGGGATTCTTCAAATGTAAAATATGTGCTGTGAAAAAAGGTTGGGAAACATTGGTCTAAATGTAAGAGTGTCCTTTAAAAATACTCTCAACCTAAAGTAGAACATTTAGAGCAACTGGAGTCTTTTGGTTGATTTTCTTTGATATTCTGTGCTGCTTTCAAAAAAATGAACCTCAATCACTTCATATTATTTGACTCAGTCGTAGTAACAGCTCTCTGAATATACAACCCATCTGTGAGGGGGATGTGTTTGGCCACTTCTGTGGCTGCAGTCTGGATGCAGTCTGAGTTTTTAGGAAGAGTCCGGAGTTGGTGTTTTGACAGGAGACTGTAGTTTATGCCACCTCACTGTTTGTGAAATTGGCTGTGCGGCTGTGTGCCTGTGTTGAGAATTTGGAGAAACTGCAGAATTGAATGATGTGTCTTTCAGGTTACTTATCTTTTCGATACAGGTAGTGACATTGTGCACTTTTGCTGATGGCCTCTGATATGTCTTAAAAAACTCCACATAGTAAACACAAAGCTCTACTGTGAAGCAGTAAAATTCTGTATCTATTCTGCAATAAAGTCAAAATGTGGCCTTAGGTCAGGTCCAGCCCGTAGATCCTGCTACAGTATAAATGTGTGAGTATATGTATATATATTTATATAAATATATGAAGCTATACAAATATATATTTCCTTGACAAACAGTTTCTAGATCATGGGCTCATGTGTTCTTAACAGACCGTTTCTTACGATCAGATTTTGAAGCAGACTGTCTTTAAATAAGAAGCCTGTGAGCAGCTGAAGCATTTTCTCTAAATATTGAGTCGTTATCACCCCTGATGATGTCTCCTTTGAACAAATTTGACCCTCGTGGTGACAGGAAACTTCTGCTCTGTCTTTATGAGGACAAAAGACATTACTATTGACCCTCAAAAGACATTTCTTCCACAGAAAAACAAACTGACTAATGCACTTGTGTAAAACAGCAGAACAAACATCAGAAGGCTGTTACAGGTGTTCTCTTCATTTTTCCTTTTATTTGAGGTGTTATGAAAACTTCACATCAAGGTCATGTTTGTCGTACATTAATCAAATCTTACTGTTGCATAAAGCTGTGTTCCGACATCCGCCCCTTTTTTTTCTCAGATGCACCTTGGACAGTACTGCTGGCCAACATTGTGCCTGAATCCACGGGGGTAACTGTCGGTGGTCTCATACCCGCTCGTTCATACCAGTTTCGCCTGTGTGCTGTCAATGACGTGGGCAGGGGCCAGTTCAGCAAGGAAACTGATCGGTGGGTAAAGTTTCAGTGTATTTTCTGAACAAATATACATATATATGTAAATATTTGTTTCTTTTAAATGCTTTATTTTACCATATCTGGTGCAAAAAAAAAGCCATAAACCTCATGTGACACTAAACATGACCTGTTTGACCATTGTTTTACTTTTTTACTACCATGAAAACCTGGAGATTAGAAATCTCTGTAATGAGTCCTAGATTAGCAGCAGCATGAACCTGAAGTTACAAGATCTTAACGGCATCAGTTAAATCAAGTCAGAGTCATCTGGAACCGGATACATCGTCCTCAAAATGTTTTCAATAACATTTGAAGAGACGACCTCCCTATGACTTAAGTCCTCATTATATCAATTACCGTATTTTCCGGATTATAAATTGTACTTTTTTTCACCACTTGCCTGGGTTTGCGACTTATACTCAGGTGCGACTTATATATTAAATATTTTGTTTCACATGTTTGTTATTTTCACACTGACAGCTACTAGAGGGCACTCAAGGCTTGTGTACTAGATTAGATTAGATTAGATTAGATTAGATTAGATTAGATTAGATTAGATTAGATTAGATTAGATTATACTTAAATGTCTTATGTAGTTATATTGTCAGATACTTGTCCTAGAGTTGACTGACAGAGCCATGTTGCTTTGCTTTGGTCTTCATTCACCTGAAGGAAACAAAGTCCAGTCAGTTTAAGGCTAGGTCTTCTCGAGAGAAACCTTTGAATAGGTTAAAATTGCACTTGGTAAAGACTTGATTCCTGTGCTGACCCGGTGTCACCTCTCACTCTTCCATTGACTCTCTTTACTGAACACACTGAGCGCTACACAAAAAGGCTCAGAACAGGCAGTGCATTCTTTTGATAAAACATTGAGATAACCAATTAGAAGGAGCCTCTCACACACACACAAACTCTTTACTCATCACGGTCCACCCATACAAACTGCTGCCTAACCCTGTCATCGTCAAGTCTTTTGCCACTTTACACAGCGGTGATGAACTCCCTTTAAAGCGAACGTCACCGCTGCCCACCAGGCACCCGGTGCTCCGTGCACTCGTGTGCTGACCTGAGCGCTGCGTGAACGTGCCCAGACAGGACCCTGGCACAGAAGGACGGCTGAGTGTCAGTGAGAGAGCAGGGCTTCTGTGAGGCGTCTCTCCAGCACACCTCTTTGATCCTAAACACTCTGCTTTATCTCCTCCAAAGCAGTGTGCGCTGGTGCACTGGGAAGAAATCAAGATGTCATCTTAAATTGACTTAAGGGAAAAGTCTGCTCTCAATCTCTCTTTCTTGTTCTTTTATATCTTTCCCCCACTTTCACAGTCTCCCTCTATTGTGCTGCGGCTCCATTTTTTCTCTCTATCAAGGCCCCTTTGATCCTTGTTATGCCAACACATGTCCCTGTGTGGACAGTATAATAGCGATCATAGACAAAGGCAGACTCGCCACAGCTCTGCTTTATGGTGGCTGTAAAAAGGTGGGCTCTGCAGTGATCTGATGCCTCTGATGAAATGAGATGGAAATATGTGAAACTTGTGAAAATGAACCGTTGGCGTCAGACTTTATTTCTTCTATCAAACCAGTCCAACAGCCTCAGGTGCTGCTGTGTCTCTGACTTTAACAACATTCATCAGCTGTTTCTCTCTTTCCTTAAGAAAAATATGCAGGGGTCAGGGGGTCAAATGATGCTACTACTGCCCCCCCTTACCTGGTGCTGGTGCTAAAAACAACAAAACATCTGTTTTGGCTTCCTAAAAAAAATACTTTTTTTTAACAGAGCTATCTGAACAGAAAGTGTGCAGAGCTTTTGAACCAATAGCACATTTCCATTGGAAACTCTTCTGAGTTCCAGTGAACAAAGTGTCACTGTGTATCACTGTTTTCATGTTTCAATTAACAGTTTCACACATGCAAACGACTGTGTGTTACACATCTCAACCTGTACGTGACTGGGTGCGGTGTTAAGTCCTTCTCTCGCCTTTGCATTACTACATCTTTCCTTTGGAAAGAAATTCAACTTAACACAACACCATACAGCTCTAGTGGCTTTTAAAAATGTGACTGAATCACTCTGGTTTGATTTCCTTGCTGTTGTCTTAGTGTTTGTATTGTATTTCCTCAGTACTTTTATGGTTTTATAATATTTACTACTCTTGAGATCATCAGGGATACCACTGAGTTACTGGATGTATTTATTTCTGTCTTGTTTCTGCAGTTTTAGGACTAAAATTAACTCCAGCTTATTTTCCCCTCACCGCCCCAGACTGACTCTCCCTGAGGAACCTCCCAGTGCGCCCCCCCAGACTGTCATCGCGAGTGGCCGCACCAATCAGTCCATCATTATACAGTGGCAGCCGCCCCCTGAGAGTCATCAGAACGGTCCTCTACAGGGCTACATCATCAGGTAGGGAGACCATGGCAACCTGTCTAATTTCTTTTGCAGAGATTGGTGCCTGTCTCTACCTCTGCCTGTGCCATTCAGATGTGATAATAACTGTTATGTCAGCTCCTTTTCTTCGTCTCCGTTTTGCTCGTTCTCACTCACCGTCACGATGGAATAATTGGTGTCAATTAAATACCTTTCCCGTCTGCAGCCTATTCATGTGCTATCACCTCTCTTTTTTGGTAGTGTTCAGCACTGCTTCTCTCATCGCCCCTCTCCTCGTCTTTATTGAGGAAACGGGTGTTCTAATATATTTATATTGTTGCCTCGTCTCCATATGCTGTTTCTGCATGTATGTCTCTCCATCTCCTCCATCTGTCAATTACTCCCTGTGCTGCCAGGTATTGTCTGTCTGGGCTGCCGGTGGACTGCCAGATGAAAAACATCACCAACCCAGACCAGACCAGCCTGCTCCTGGAGGACCTCATCATCTGGACCAACTATGAGATCGAGGTAGCGGCCTATAACGGAGCGGGCAGGGGCACCTACAGTCACAAGGTTACCGAGTGGACGCTGCAAGGAGGTGAGGAGTTAATTTGGTGCCCAAATCATTTTCATTACCTGCAGCCTCCCACTGGTTCTGCCAGTATGAAGCCTCCGGCCTGAAGCCTGAGAATGATGGTTAACACAATTATCTGGCTGTTAGTGATTAAATAAGGAGCCTTACGCAGTGCAGTTCTGAATGCCCGGCTAACCTTGAGAGGGTGATTCATGCAGGTTGTTAAGACAACAGTCACTTACACTCTACTGCCTCGGTCAGAAATCAGCAGCCAGGAGTATGCTGTTGGCACTGCCTTTTTTTCCCCTGTTCTGTGTTTAACCTCTCAGTAAATGCTGCTTCACAGAACTAATGAAACAGACATGAGCAAATATCTTCATCACAGTCTTTTTTTTCTTACTGTCTCACAAGATTTTGAAACACCTTTTACGTACTTTTTAATTTCCTGTTCTTAATAGTGTTTTTCTGTCTCTGATGACAACGCTTTAAAAAACAAGGCCTGGAGACATTGGCAGCATCACAGAGATTCAATCGATTGTGCACATAAATTACCAGGTGACGATGTGCGTCAGACCTGTGACATATCTTCCAGTGTTCCTGGAGCACTATAATTAGAACGCATATTGTGAAATGAACACTGTGTCGCAGATATATATTTTCATCAAACCCAGCCGTTTCCACACCTTATGTTCCCTCCGTTCGTTGTCTGTTGAAACTCTTGAGAGGACGTCAACGCACCATCTGGTTTGCCTCTCTTCTGTTGGGTGACAATGAGGGAATCTGTCTTTGATAGCCAGCCACAGTGAGGCATCAGAATTTAAAAAGGTTAATCTATTTTTATACGATATGAAAAAGTCGATACGTAGATCACGGAATCTCAAACACCGCTGCTTCGGTTACAAAAATAAGGGAGGATGCTCTGGTTTATTCATGGAGCCCGAGCCTCCGGTTAGAAACGCCTTAAAGTTTTATACAAAGCTTTGTAAACCTTAATACACTCACACATCTCATCTCTGGATCCCTGTCATGATAAATCCTCTCAATGAGCAGAAACCCTCTACACCAGAGACACTAAATATTCTCGAGAGCTCTCGTTTGAAAAGTGAGTGATTCGTTGTGCGATGTGTTCAGATCACTGCACACATGCAGTCGTTAGAGATGCAGATATTTAATTCAATTCGATTTCATCTGTTTGACATTAATCTGTCTATTTTAAGGGACTGATCAATTATTTATAGTTTTTGCCATTAGTAAATCACATATGCATACACAGACCTGCTGCTGTACAGAAAAGGTGAAAACGCAGTAGAAAGTTACTGCACTTGGAGCGTAATTCTGTTTTTCTAAAACATTAATTGATGTAGTAATTACTGGGACAGAGGCGGGTACAGCTTAAGCTCACGTCCGAGAATCACTTTTTTTTTTTACTTGAGAATGGAGGAGGCAATCTTATGCAGTTTCAGAATTGGGTTTCGGTAGATTTTTCTGGTATATTGTGTACTAGGTACAACCATGCTGCCTACATTTTAAAGAGGAATTCTCCCAAGAATACCTCTTTGTTTCTGTCTCTCATTATAGATCATGAGCAATTGAAACATAGGAAAAAAAATATATAAAAAAGTATGAATATATATATATATATATATATTTATATATATATATATATGTTTTTTTATTCATTGAAATCACTTTGAAAATCATGATTTCCCGTTCCGTCTGATTATTAAAGGTTAATTAGTTCTGGAAATGGGATTTGTATGTTGTGAATGCCAGCATCTGTTTTTTATGTTCATTTTTTTAACTTATTTATTTATATGGAAGTGGAAACATAATAGAGAGCACATTCTTAGTTGTATTTGACAGAAGAAACCTGCTGTTTGAGTCACCTTAATTTTTGATGGATTACTTTCAAATATATTTGTAAAATATTGCAGTATTAATGCTCACCTTCTGGAACAGATTTTTGAAAAATTAATGGAAACCTCTACATAACCGTGACATCTATGATGGTGATCAATCAGTTAGTTGATGATGCTTTTAAACTCTGAATGTGCTGCGTCTGCTAACAGGCCAACGATTATATTCAAACACATTTGAAAATAATTCCACAAGCGTTTTTTTGTTTTGTTTTGTTTGTTTTTTTTGCTGTTTATTTGCATAGCTGCGGAACCTGGAAAACACGGCAAGCCTCCCCATTTCACTTCCCACTGACTTTGCTCCCGGAAAAATATTTCATCACCCAGTGACTTCCATCACTGTCAGTGAGGAGCAGCAGTGAGCAAAGTATTCACGTTCTTTGGCTCAGCGCTCATTAATTACACGTATTCTTCACCCTCCATTATAGACACAGGAGCAGGTCACGCTGTGAATTGAAATCCATTCAAACAGAATGGAGGATCGCACATGTTTTTTGGCAGCGCCATTGTTGGCCAATCAGTTTCATTAGGGTTCGACTCCCTGGCTGTTTTTTCAGGTGTTACATCAGAACGCAGCTATCGCTTCAAACAAACTGCTGCGGGCTTCACCTGGAAGCTGCCTGAGGCAATCGCTCTCACAGTCTGTTTGATTGGCGTGTTCCTACCTCCGTAAATGAGCCAAGACTTTTTTAAAATACTGCTTCATTCTTATTCTCTCGCTCTAAATGAAGCCACAGTAAATGGTGAAAGTGTTTTTCTAACTCATCGTTGTTCTTTCCTCTTCTGCCTGCCTGTCCTCCACTCATTCCTATTTTTTTTTCCCGTCACTTACTTCCCCGTAATCTTTAATTCTCTCATTTTCCCTCCTTTCTTTGGAACAGTTCCCACTGTGCCGCCAGGAAATGTACAAGTAGAGCCTGTCAACTCCACCACCATACGTTTCACCTGGAGTGCCCCGAGCCCTCAGTTTATTAATGGAATAAACCAGGGATATAAGGTGAGTGGGACCCATCTGTCAACCAGTGCCCTCTAGTGGTCAGAGGCAAAATATAATTCTCATCTGACTGGAGCCTACAGCATTTAGTTTGAAAAGTGGCGCTGAACTGAGTTGGAGTGTTTTTTAGAATAAAAAATATCCACAACAGAAATCAGAACTGAACTTATTTTATAACATTATATATTCAAGATTTTCATTTATTTATTTTGACTTTTAGTACACAATTCACATTCCAGTTTTTGGTTTGATGTATGAGATCAATTTTGATTAAATCAATATGTTTCCCCTCAGAATTCTCAATAGCTCACCAGTGAAAATAACCAACTTAACTTGAGAGTTGATTTGTAAATGTATTCAATACATTTGCACCAATGAAAAACCCCTAATGAAACCAGTTGCACACCTGGATTATAAAATAAAAGCTCTCTGAGGTGTTGGTCAAATTACTCACGCAAAATGTCTGACTTTAATGTTTGTATTTGTAAATTAATTAAAGCTAAAGTTAAGGAGAAAATATGAACAACTTTTACCAGTTCCCAGAAATGAACTTTATTCTAGTTAATTGATGAATTGGGGAGGCTAACAGGGGCCTATAAAGTCAGGTTTGAGGCCAGGTCCAGACCTCAGACCTTATGTTGCCTATGCATGCCTTATTTGTCTCACTTGTCGGCCCACTTTCCTACAAAGTGGGTTCTAATTTGATTTTGTACATTCAATCTTCTGCTTTCGCACTTCATTTTCAGCTGTTGGCATGGGAACCCGCCCATACTAATGTGGTCACCATGGTTACAGTACGACCCAACTTCCAGGATAGCGTCCATGTGGGCTACATCTCTGGCCTCAAGAAGTTCACTGAGTACTACACGTCAGTGTTGTGCTTCACCACCCCAGGAGATGGGCCCCGCAGCCCAGCCCAATGCCTGCGCACTCACGAGGATAGTAAGTGCTGCCTTTTCAGATTAAGCTGTGAAGTTACCTGTGTTGTTGGGTTAAATTATTGCTTTGTTGTTGTTTTTTCAAAGCCCCTGGTCCTGTGGGACATCTTAGTTTCACTGACATCCTGGACACCTCACTAAAAGTCAGCTGGAAAGAGCCACTGGAGAAAAACGGCATCCTCACAGGTATCCGTTTAGGAAAACGGCATCCTCACAGGTATCCGTTTGACTAAACGGATCTACTGTTGCATAAAGCATCTAATACTGTGTAACTACACAGTATTAGATGTCTCCTCTCTTTTAATCTGTGGCCACGGTGACAGTTATGTGCAACTTGGGATTCGACCTTCATGCAGGCTACCGCATCTCCTGGGAGGAGTTCAACAGGACCAATACTCGGGTCACCCATTATTTGCCCAACCTGACTCAGGAATACAAGGTGACGGGGCTCACAGCCCTCACCACCTACACCATCCAGGTAGCAGCCATGACCTCCAAGGGACAGGGGCAGCTCTCATCCTCCACTATCTCCTCTGGTGTTCCGCCAGGTCAGTGAACGGGACTACTTCTTTTTATTATTTATTATATTATATTATATATATTCATGTATTTCAGGAATTTTGCACTATATACATATATATATAAATTTTGGGATGTTGACTCCTACATTTGGGGAGAAAAAGTACACACTGGGCTCTTTAAAGTTGACAATAAATGATTAAATAATCATTTTCATGCAATAAAATATTTATTTTTATATGATTTGTTATTTACTAAACAAAACTTACATGTCCCACTTTTAAGAAATCAATAATTCCATGGGCCTAAAATACTTACCATAAATACCATAATGATACTATAATACTATGCAATATTTTGGCATAAATATTAAAATAGTAATTTCACCTCCTGTCTCCGAAAAACTGTTCCTATTAAGTATTTCCAGCAGCTGTAAATGATGTTGGGATGTCATTTTAATTTGTCTCTCCTCATCGGCAGAGTTGCCCGGTCCTCCCACCAATTTAGCCATCTCCAACATCGGCCCTCGCTCCGTCTCTCTGCTGTTCAAACCCGGTTATGACGGCAAGACATCAATTTCCCGTTGGCAGGTTGAAGCTCAGGTTAGACACTTGATATCACTTCATTATAATACAACATTTCATTATGGGTGCACAGGTATAAACTGCTCCTTATTGGATTGATTCAGCTGCCGACAGAACACTGCTCTATATTTCAGATCAGCATTATAGGAGAGAATGAAGAGTGGTTGTTGGTTCATCAGCTGGCTAACGAGCCTGACGCTAGATCACTGGAGGTCCTCGACCTCAATCCCTATACGTACTACAGGTGAGCGGATCACACAGTTCACTCGTCAATATATACCGTCATGTCACAAACAATGTATTTATTTACATACATTCACCTGCCGTGTTGTTAGTAAACCTGTTCAACTATTTACATAATTACAATGCAATTTTGTACCAACTGAAGTTTAAAGAGATCCAAAGAAGAAGAGGAGGATCAGTAGCTAAAATAAAAACTACCAGGTACACAAAAAAAACCATCTCATAACACACAACATGGCACAAGGAAATGAGGCCACTGTTTACTCATGCTCAACAAAATTGGGAAAAACAGAAAACATTTTATGTTTTGATGCGTTGCAATTTCTGCTGTGATATTTGCATGATGGCATCAAATTTGGAGTAAACAACATGAAAGCATGAAACCATTCTGTCTTGTTGTAACAGTTCAGGCTGATGGTTGGGGTGCGGTGATATTTTTGGCAAGTTTTTGATCATGCTACAACCTACTGCTGCTGACCATGTATACTGTGTGTCATCATCTGAAGGCTGCATCCACACTGAAACGATCCTTCAGGTTAACAGAGGAACTCAGTCTCAGTCTCTTGGAGC